TTCGAGTCCCGCGACCGCCGGGGCTGTCGGAAAAGAGGGAGAAAAATGGGAAAAGGAGCAGGAACGAGAAGAGGGGAATGGGAACGGGAATGAGAATGGAAATGGGAACGGGAACAGGAATAGGAATAGGGATAAATAGGAGTAGGAATAAGAATATGTAGGAAGAAGAACAGGAATATGAGTTAGAATTGGATTAGAAGGAGGAATAGGAATAAACAGGAATAGGAATAAACAGGAATAGGAATAAACAGGAATAAGAGCAAGAACAGGAAAAGAACAAGCAGAAATAGAAATAACAGAAATAAAAATAAATTGAAACAGATCGACCGAAATAAACGAACGGAGATGAATCCCAAGGGAAGCAGGAGGCTCTGAGGAGCCCGACGTGACCCCGAAGCCGGGGGAATGGCACGGCCTCACTTCCCGCGAGGGAATTGCAGCTGAGGACTCCAGGAATTCATTCCGAGGGGACAAACAGAAGAGTCCGGGAGCAGCCCAGCCCTGGGAGCTGCGCCGGGATTCCCTGGGAGGGTCCCCAGGAGGCACCGGGACACACGCGGGTCGCCAGCCGGGCTGTCGCCAGGGCTGGTCCCGCCGGGAGCCGCGTCTGCGGCAGGAAAAGCCGGCTGTGGGGCTGGAGGGCAGCGGGGCTGGAGCGGGGAGCGGGTCCGGCCGGGACTGGGAGCTCTGGAGCTGCCAGCGGCTCTGGAACCCCAAATGCAGGAGCTCAAGGATGGGGAGGGGCTGGGGGGCAGTTTGGGGGAATTGGGGCAGTGGATGGGGGGACAGAATTCGCTGTTCTGGGGTGGCCGGGGGTCTCTGGGGGGGTCTCACGGGCAGGGCTGAGCACAGAGTGTCCCCTGTGTCCCCCCGTGTCCCTCCCAAGGCTGAAGGGTTTCCTCCATCTTTGGGTCAATGGCGTCACCTCGTGGCCTTTGGGGGCACTGACACCGCGGGGATGACGTCACTGATGTCACTGGGGGCACGAGGGGCGGGGCCGGGGCGTGGGGACGGGACTGGGGACAGGGGATGGGGACAAGGAATGGAGACAAGGGGACAGGGAGGTGGCTGTGCCAGAGCCGGGTGCCACCGCCGGCAGCGCTGCCCGTGGTGTCGCTGCTGCCGTCACTCTTTCCAGTGACACAGGGGCACAGGGAAATGGGGCGGGGGACACAGGACATCCCCCCCAGCCCAGTCCCGGATTTCCTGGCACGGGTGGGAACGGCGCGGTGGCTCCCGGTGACCTTTGCCACGGCCGCCACCCCGATGCTGCTGCGGCCACCGCGGTGTCCCCGTCGCTGTCACCGCGGGGGCGGAACTGTCCCACGGCACGGCCCCGCCCCGGTGCCTCTCTCGGGGTCCCGATGTGACCTCCTGCTATTTGGGGGGAGGGCCGGGGGGCATCCCATTAGGGGGAGGGGTGTGTCTCATCCCGTAAGGGGCCTTAATTTTGGGATCCCACTCTGGGAGGGGGATGTCCCATCCCAAAGAGGTGCCAGGTAGGGGCGATGAGGGGGGGAACTGTCCCGCGGGGGGTGTGTGGGG